CTGGTGTAAGCACTACTTAGCAACAACTAAAACATCAGTGTGTTATCAACATTATTCTCATCCTAAATCCAAAACACAGCACTATACCAGCTACTAGGAAGAAAATTAACTCTGTCCCAGCCAAAACCAGGACAGACTGTAATATTTTAGAAAAAATAAAAAAAAAAAAAAGGAGGTGCAGAAGACTCAAGTGGCTGAAGTCCTCACAGTAGCAGCAATATTGAGTTAGGAAGCAGAACCCAAACTCATATTTTAAGCAGGGAGTGTTTGTGCAGTGGGGAAGAGGAAAGGGGCAAAATGAAGTAGAAAAGCTATGGTAACAGGATCTATCTCTTAGACCTCTTGTCCTCAACAGAGTTTTCCAGTCCTTTCCATATTCCTCATCTTTTAGGCTGGGAAAATGCTGCCATCAAGTTATACCTTGTGCTGACTCACCAGCTACTTTGCCCATAGTCCTTCAAGAGATTGTAAGGGATGGCTGCAGATCCTTCTCTGCCTTGTCCAGCTACAGATTTGAAGTTTTCTGGAACTTCGTATCTTTCAGACTTCAGTCTCTCTGGCAAACTTGTTTAAAGTTGGCCAATGGATTCAAAAGTTACTGGGAGGTGCAGGTGACAGGTTGACATGCGGACAGACAATGTAATTGCATACCTTTTTCCCAATGAAAACCAGGCTAAGCATAACCAAGGCACATATAGATAGTGAAGGAATATATCCTGAATCAAGCTCAGCTGTAATAGAAATGTCAGTTACCTGTTGCCTGCACCTTCTTTAGAAGTTAGCTAACCAGTCCAATTTCCATCTGCTTACAAGCGCAAGATAAACTTTTGCCACTTTTCAGGAATGGGCAAGAAAATGTCACTTTTTTTCAGCTGGATCAGTTTATCTAGACTGTGAAAGATTAAACACCAAGAGGATACTGCCAGCAAAGACAGAGAGAAAAAGCTGCTTACTTCCTGGTAGGATAATGAGAGTGCAGCAGCGGAGGTGTGCATTGCAAGATCACAGCAAGCTGTGCTTTATTCAGAACGGTACAACAGCATTTGACACATGTGCTGTAACCACATGGAAACCATGGCATGGGAGGAATATTGTAGGAGGGAGATTGTAAGGTATAGCAAGAAAAAAAACTCAGCAAAAACAGGAAAATAAATTTGTATTACATAACGGAGATATGACACAGTTGTGCTGTTCAAAAGTTATTCCTTATATAAAAAGAAACATTGGTAACAATGAAAACCCTTTCTTAGAAGAGTAGGCGCATGAGCAATGGTAGGTAGGTAGGTGGGAGGAACGGCGTGGGTTGTGAGACCAATATTATACTTAAAGTACTCAGAGAGGAAAAGGCCCACAAGGTGAAAAATCCCTTTAAAAACAACAGTGAAAACAAAAGGGAACATGTTTTTAAGTTGTTTGCTCCACCAAAGATGAAAGTGAAGCCAGCTATAGACTGCATACAGAAAACAGAGAGAGTAGCAGAAAGACGTGCAGAAGATCCCTGACAATTACCAGTGTAGAAACACCGCTTTCACAAGCTGCCTTGTTCTTCACTGACAGAAAAAACATAATTAAAGGAGTGAAATGCCACTCAGCTTTAAGGTGTTAATATAAGTCCTGCAAGGTCAGCTAGAAAGTCCACTAGTGTCAGTAAAAGGCTGACACTGACTAGAGTGGCTTTTGGCTCATTTCCATAGAGCTCTTATTCAGGTGCAAATTGAACGCAAGTCAACAGTAAGCCAAGGAAATAACTTGTTATCACATATTATGCAATTGCTTGATGACCTATATTCAGTGAGTTAGGGGCCTTAATTTAGTCTCTGGCCGACATGCCAGCAAAACTCTATCACAACTCTCAGAGTAATCAGGGTAGCCCTGGGATGAACAAGCAATGTCACGGTCAAGGTCAAGTCATGCTACTAAGAAAGTATGAAGAAGTCTGCAAATAAGACCTAGCTTAACAGAAGACTTCAATTCCCAGAGCAAGTACTTGGCTAGTTCTCACCCCTCCCCCCCCCCCCCCCCCTCAAAACTCTTTATAGCAGGACATAAACC